TTCCCCCCCCCCCCCCCCCCCCAAAAAAAATCCTTATTTTGTACATATTACATTATATGCCCTTATATCCAATGCCCTGTCTATCCGATAATGCATTTTACTTGGGCTACACATTATATTGTTATAGCACATGACTTTTTGAGAGAAGATCAGTACACAGTACTCACAGACAGGTTACTAACAAGCCCCATGTTGTGAATTTCATAAGTCTCATTGGGTGTGATGGGAAGGTTGTTTCTGAACCAAATCCAGGATCCAGGAAGAGGCTCCGCCTCCACTATGCAGGTGAGGTTCCTCTTGAAGGGCTGGCTGGCCAACCAGTGATACTTCACATCTGGCACCTTCATCTTCACAAATGTTGGTTTATCTGGAAGTGAAATTATTAATTCTTACAGTGAAGCTGGTACCTAATTTGTTACTGTACGCAAGACCTATGCCACCTTTTGAATTAATGAGTTCCTTTTTCACTTGGTTTTGAGCTTTCTGCTTTAAAAGGTGAATGATAAATGATTAGTTATGGAATTCAATGTAAACACTTACAGTGCACAATGATGGTCCCATTTCTCCTGTCAAATCCTCCCGTATTATTCGCAAAGCAAGTGTAGTTTCCACGGTCATCCTCCTTTGTGGCAGTGATGGTCATTTTCAGGCTTGTGTATTCGCCACTTTCGCTCTTCTCCAGGGTGATGCGAGAGTCAGACTAGGTAAGACAACAGGGAAAGTTATCAAATTATAATGATTTTTTGGGGAGGTAAATATGGCACTCTCACTGTTCTTCAGGATGTGGAAAGAGTTGGACAGGACTGAATGAGCGAGTAAGAAAAAAGTAAGTAAGGAACTGTGTGTGTGTGTGTGTGTGTGTGTGTGTGTGTGTGTGTGTGTGTGTGTGTGTGTGAGCAAGAGAGAGAGAGAGAGAAATACCACAAGAGATGTGTGTGTGTGTGTGAGAGAGAGAGAGAGATGTGTGTGTGTGTGTATGAAAGAGAGAGAGGGAGGAGAGAGAGAGAGAGAGAGAGGAGGGGGTTGTGTATACTTACTGCTTGGGTGGGGTAGACATAGGGGGCAGCATTCCCCACTTTGTGGAAGGAGATATCCATAGGTCTGTCCCCAATCACAGAGCAGAACAGGTCTACCGTGTCCCCCTTCTTCACTGTCTTGTTTTCAAGTCTTTCAATCATGGCTGGAACTGGAACACAAATGGAAATGTTTATAAAACAACTATTATCTTATTTTTATAAATTTATAAGAACTTAATTAAAAGAACATAATAACGTCTCATTTTTTCATATCACCCTTTTATCTTTCTGTCAAAAAATATAAATAAAACTTAAATTTCAAAATCATAAACATCAATTACAAGTCTAACAACTCTTCATTTTGGTGGGGAAAATGTCATAAAACGAACTTTTCTAGGGGTAAACAAAAATTTTCCCATACTTTCCAATGATTAATGAATACCTTCTTACTTTCAAAGTTAGTGGATTGTTTTTATGATTTAAGAATTTTTATTTTTGTTAAAATCTCTTACTAGATTATTACCTAGGTTAGCCAACCATGTAGGTCCATATGTTCCGATGGCAAGCACAGATTTCAAAATAATGGTGATAACCACCATTTTGGTGGTAAAATGGAATTTATTATATTTCTAAGTGTTGTATACAATGTATTTATTGCATTGGAATTTTGAGTTGAAATTAGGAGTTATTTTCCCTTTAGGTATCAAACACAAGAACAATTTTTTTCACAAATTTTACTATAATGTTGTAATAACCAAACAAACAAAGAAGACTACACTTACTGACAACTTTCAGGTTAGCCGTCCCAGACACAAGGACGTCATCATCAGGGGTGGCTGGGTCACCCAAATCCACCACAGCCTCACAGGTGTAAGGCCCTTCATCCAGCCTCTGGATATTCCTGATCACAAGCTCTCCGGACTCTCTGTACATGCTGATACGGGATTCCTGAGAGATGTCACGGAAGTCGGTCGAGTCCCGGGAAGACCCCTGCAGCGCAAGAATTATGTGGAAACTTACTATCACCTTGTTACACCATTTTCTTTGTCTATTTGTCAATAACCTCTTGTTCTATTAAGATTATTATATTTAAGTAATTCAATCACTTGCAGTACCAAAAAGAAAAATTTTTCCACATGACCAATAATACCAATATTTGGTCTACTAAGGGTAAGTTACATAAATTAACTTTTCGGGGATAAGTAAGCATTTATGTGTGAGAGCCGAGCCGAGCCGAGACCCCCCCACCCCCCCCCCTGTAAAATCCCTCGAATATTTTCTTAGTGTAGATTTAAACTGATGATCTTAACTGTCCTTACTCTTCTTTTAGAAGGACAATTTTAAAAGCAGGGATTACTTTAAAAAAGAAGGTTGTACGAAACCACCACACTTCCAAAAAAAAAAAAAAAAAAAAAAAACTAACCTTGTACCACGTGTAGGAAGGTTTGGGCTTTCCAGTTGCATTGCAGAACATCTTTACTTCCTGCATGAGAACACCTTCTGTGTACTTGGGCTTGGTTTTCCAGACAGGGGGCACTAGAATGAATGAACACAAAGCCTTGAATAGCGCACTCTACCACTACCATGTCAGAATTATTTTCACAATGTCATGCACAACTGGAAAAGTACTCAAGAGTGAAATATGGTAGTTGAGACACATCCATTTAACAAGGCCACTGGCCCTATCTCACAATGGTGAAGATTCCTTGAAGAAGCCCTTAAAAATTAATTGGATCACCACAAAAATCTAATCGCTTTTAAATTAGTCCATTTGTGACCTTTCCTGTAACTTCATCAAAATCCTTCCATAACTTTTGGATTTTTTTTTATTTTTTATTTTTTTATTTTTTATATATACTTTCATAATAACCACCATCCTCACCAATGACTTCTACAGATATTCTCCTGGAGTCCAGCACTGCCAGTTCTGGCTGGGAAGCCTTGCAGTTATAAAACCCTTCTTCATTCACTGACGTCACATTGGTAATGCGCAACCCACCCTCTTCAAATTGATACTTGGAACCTATAAAGATTATAGATTTTAAGATTATATGAGGATGGAATAGCCTTACTTACAGTAGTTAAGTGGTAGCTTTCTGAGATTGCCATAGGAGCAAATTTAACCCGTTTGTCAATTGAGTTTAGCAACTTTCAACCAAAATCCTAAGTCTACTCTATTAAAGGATCAAAAAAGCAAATAATTCATCTCTTAAAAATGAGGCTGGCTGTTTACTTTCTTTCCAGTCAGGAATATGAAAAATCTGGCACACAAAATCTGAAAAACCATGCAAGACAAACTTTCAGTATAATTCCACTGTGAAATGGTTCAAGCAGTTTAAGAGTGCGTGTGGGTTTTCTACATACCTGAAGTAATCCCTACAATGGTATTGCTGTCTTTCTGCTGGAAGTCCCATGTAACTCTGGGGCTTGGGCTGCCGGTAACAACACACTTGATAAATCCCTCTCTGTTTAATACAATCCTTTGGGATGAAGGAACGTCTACAAACTTTACATTTTCTGTAAAAGAGAGGTAATGTTACCTTATTATAAAAGTTATTGGTACATTACTTGTTTCCTGGGCTTGGCAGTAACTTTTTCAGCCACTTGTCCTTCCCCCAGATCAATGACATTTTAGAACTTGAGATATTAATGGAGAAGAGAGATATTGGTAAATATTAAAGGAGTTACTAGCCCTATAGGCCATTAACTCCTGTGATTCGCTGGTCTCCCGAGATAGGTCTTCAGTGGCCCTGGGCCAGCAGGGCACCGTCATTGTGGATCCCTCAGTTTCAGGAAAGAGATTGGAACTTGGGAGGTACTGTGCACTTTTCTGAGATACTGACTAGTTCATTGGTCTTCAGAAACCAACTGCCTTGCCAAAACTTCAGAATAAGCATGCCCATTGCAAAATACAATAGTTATCCTACTATTAATAGCAGGCAAATCCTATGAACAGTTTTGAGGAGAAAAAAAGTGTGGGTTAAACCCAAGTACAGGTCTGTTTTTGTACCACTTTAACAAATGGTCCACTTTCTCAGAAAAAAATGCTTTGAAATTGCTAGCTAACCAAATATTTTTGTGAAGAATACATGTCTTTCCTTCACATACTGGACAATTATGTAGATCACCTTACCGTTGATTTCCAAGGTAAATGATTTGGTAGAAGTTGCCCCATTAATTGTTCCTTTACAGGTGTAAAGTCCAGCATCCTCCATCCGCACTTTCTTGAATTGTAACAGGAGTCCTGACGGCTCACGAGATATGTAAATCCCTGTCCTAAATGGGAAATTCTCATTAATAATGATGATAATACAAACTATGGAAACTTTACTGGGTTCTATATGGTACATTTTCACATTTGTCAGCTCTCTATACTAATAAATTTATGAATTTATTATTCAATATTTATTTATTTTTTTTTTTTTTGGGGGGGGGGAGGGGGGTGGCTTAACAATAAATACGTTTCATTATTTTTCAAAAATAATACAATCGGTAAGAATAAACAGGGAACAAGACAGGGATGATCTATTCTAGAAGCTTTACTTTCAGGACATCTTTTAGTTATGTCTGCACAATCAGTCCGTGCCACTAAACACAACGAACCTCCCCCCCCCCCACTGTTGTTGCAGCCTATCTCAACAAACACAATGAAGCTTCCAAACTGTTCTGATGTCTCAACAACAGCAAATTAACTTTTAGAAGAATAACAAGCACATTTTCTTACTCTGCATGAACCAGGATCTAAAATTTTCCTTTGCATTATAAACACTGCACCAAATATAAAAGATACATATGTTAGTCAAAACAAAGTACACTTTCTTCAGTCAATTTACTTGCAGTATCTGTTGAAAAAAAGACTACCCCCCACCCCCCAACAATCTTCCTCAAATCAACCTACCTTTGTAGGAATGCTTGCATAATCAGCTATATGACCAATACAAGCTTAAGTGACATATATGTTTAAGCAAAATCAGCATTTTTCTTCTGAACGTTACTTAAATTGTATATTAGTCTAACACCTGTGGAACATAAACACTGGAAAAAAACTATACTTACTCTAAAGGTATAACAGTTGAAGTAATTTCTCTCTCTGGAATAATGTCACTTCCAAGGTACCATTGAAAATCTACTTGATCCTGGCTCGTCACTCCTGGTGCTTCACATGTCACTACAATGTTGCTGTCTAAATTCTTCTTTATTACCGGACTATCAGGCAATAAGGCGACGCTGGACTGTTGCACTGTAATGATCAGAAGAAAAGAGATGTAAAATACATGTTTGACATACATTTCAGCTATCTTTCGTATATAGGGTGTTCCAAAAAATGTACCCATTTAGAAACTAAATAACTCTTCTGAAATTTACACTTCAGATGACATTTTTTAATTATTTTTCTTTATCCTGATATATGTTCAATGTATTGGGAATGTTTCAACAACTGTATATTCGCATTCAAATCACACTTTTGAATTAAACCAATGATAAATGGACAACAAAATCTTAGTTTCCTTAGCCAAGTTAGAATATCTTAAGCATTTAGCTAAAATTTATTTAGTAGTTTCCTAAACCAAGAATATCTTTTAAAATTAAGCCAAAATTACACAGAGAGTCAACAAATAAATGTTTGGTTTGTGGTTAATGCAGAGGTTTCTCTCACCACAGGTATGTCTGATATCCACACATTAACCTAACCTTATCACCTCTTAATAGCTGAGAGAAATACATGTCATTTGATACTCTTGAGTGCTTTTACAGACTTCTACTACAGGAATCAGTAAAGCCTCTAAGACTGTTGTAACTGTTTTTCCAAAGTCAGGCCCGTACTATAGGGTCAGTCATCAGGACAGTGTGAAGAATATTAAGTCTACAACCAAATTTCTGTACAACAGAGAGGCAAATCATAGATCAAAATGCTAAATGATATATCTGGCCATCCATACTACCCTAATGAATGAAGTCAGTGCCAGAGGACGACGATGCCTGTGACAAGAAAAATTTGCAGATCAAATTTCAGCATGAGAGGAGAAAAAAGGAAATTCATTAGTGAAATTCAGAATATTTATGGGTGCTAGGTCTACGCAAAATTGGTCTCCGGATAATTTCAGAGCAACATTGACCTTTACTTGTACAATTCCAATTACCAAACCAATATCAAAACTGCACAAGGTACTATTCATTGCTATGGAAATGGTCATAATTACAAGATGTCGTACACCAAACCTCACACAGAAGTGTGGTATATCCTGACGCGAACATTTATTGTCAGAAGTAACGTGGAGAAAATCAATGTTAGTCCCATAAGGCAGTAAGTACACAGTGACTTCACAAACCCCAGCATCATCAATTGTCTGGGTCACTGTCATCAAGGCCGTGCTTATTCTCGTGCTCATGCTCGCACACACACACTCTCAAACAGCAGATTTCATACGACTGGAACCAGCAGCACTATTATCAGATGACCATATTGCTTAAGAAAGATGTTTGAAAGAATCTTCTCTGAAAAAAAAAAAAAAAAAAAAAAACTGGGGATCTCTAGCCTGTTCACCAGTTTCAGTTGATCTGGTTCTACACAGTGTTACCCAGTCAAAGTTCTGTATGGCTCCAATAAAGCTTATTTATCACTGATAAGTATTTGCCATTGTTCACGAGACAATTTATTTTTCTTTAGCTAACACCTTCTCCATTAAACAAAATTCCCAATAATACTTCAATTATTGGAAAATTGAATTTTATCCATATACTTGAATAGAAGGGATAAAAGAGGGTTAAGGAAGCAGTAAACAATTCTTTAGATCCCATTCATGTCAAAGCAAAATAAATTGCAATCTTCGTGAGAACTGGACCACCAGCTGAACATAAACTTTGCAGGTAAAGAGAAATATGAGACCACTTTACCATGGCAAACGTAAGTGGTCAGTAAGTTTGATATTAGCCCTATTGTCTGGCCTATCAGTAGGGTCCTTAAACCCATTTAGGCAGGACAATAAGAGAAGTCAAATTAACCCTTTGGATAACTGGCTAACTGGCTCATTAAGATGATGTGTTATATATATATTCAGGCATTCTATTCCTCCTGATCTTTGAACTCAGCCAAATCAACAACTGGCCATTTTCATCAATCAATTGGTCATTTTCTACCATCACCTGGTTATTATCCTCTCTGAATAACTGTTTTGACGTAACTATGAAACTGAAGTGGACTTGCTGAAAATCACATTACATTGTCAACAACCTGTGTAGGAGAAGAAAATCAGTGTGCGAAAAACAAGATGGCAGCAGTTACCGTAGTGACACAAAACCCTCCCCTCCCTTTTAATCATTTAATTATGGTGTCACAAACATAAAATATGTCCTTCTGTCCACTCTGTTTTTTTTTTACTTGTGTCAATCTGCTCTGACGCAAATGAGTATTTAGAAAAAAAAATCCCCAAATCATGAGCATGTGTAGATGTGAGTATATTTCCATACGTGCACATGTTCGTAATCATGCCTGTAAACCTTGATACAAAGAACCTCTAAAATTCAAGTGCAAATAGCAGTGGAAGTTCCGTGTTTTATCTGTGTGAACAAGAGTCTAGAGTCTTGAGACAGTCAATTAATTAGAAAGAGTTAATTCAAGCAGTAATAACACTGTCTGTCTTCTCCCAAAAGCAATTTCCTACTGGGACAGCTGACATATTAGCTTATCGATTTTTCACCCCATCCTCATCTGATGTTACAGCCACTATCCAGTTTGACCAGTGTCCAGTGGCCTGCTCCATTACATCCATTGTATCCAAATGGACACCTGTTTATATTAACCCTTTCACCACTATTCTGCTGACAGGTCAATATAGAATTGATGGTAGCAGTGTAAAATGGGGCATAAAGAAAAAAAATGCTAATTTTGCTCATAAGATAATTTTAGGAAAAAATACTGCCCTACTGTGGACAACAATTGGAGGGTTCTTTAAGTAGCTACTTGGTTAAAAGAGAAGATCATATTCAATGAAATAGTGTTATTGGTCTCTTAAAAATTGCACTAAGGGAAACCCTGTGGTTGATATACACATTTAATTGTCTTTTAGCATTTCACAGGAACACCTCTCACTTGAACCACTCAAGAAATATTTTATTCCCCAAATGTTTTCATTCCAACAGTTCCTGAAACTTTTTGTCTGGCAGCTAACTGTTTGGTAACTCAGTTATAGGTGGGAGGCCCAATTCCTCTACGAGAGACAAACCAAACTGCATACGATCCATCTTTGCATGTTGACAGTCAATTTATATTACCATGCTGTCTGATTACAATGAGTTGACCACAGGAAGCAAACTAGATGACCCATAGCTTGCCTGTATTATTTTCAGAGCCAGTAAAGAACACAATACACCTGAAGTTTTTCCTAGGAGAGAAAGCAAAAGTGAGATGGACATGTTAAAATGATGGTAATAAACATTAAAGGATGTTTTTCCTCCTCTTTCCATTTTAAAAGATGCATTTAATGTCAAAATTTGGCCTCAAAACCAAAGCAAATGCCACCATGTAGTTGCAAATAGCATAATTTACAGAAATACCAAATGTTACTCTGACAGCATTCAGCAGAAGTCCCCACGGAGTTGACTTGAACTACCTAGTACGACAATTTCATAGTGAATGCACCCTCCGGTATAGCTAAGAAGTGAAGTCTACAGCATTTAGAGTGCATTCCCAGAGATTTAGATAGATCTATCCAGATCGACCTAATTCCCTGGGAGTTTGCGCTAAACTGCAGTCAGCTGAGCTTTTAGTAGGCAGGACAGACATTTAAGCCGGCTAAACTAACAGTAATCTAGTGAGACTCCAAGAGGATAGATCGATCTAAAATCTGTGGGAATGGGGTNTGTGTAGGAAGGTTTGGGCTTTCCAGTTGCATTGCAGAACATCTTTACTTCCTGCATGAGAACACCTTCTGTGTACTTGGGCTTGGTTTTCCAGACAGGGGGCACTAGAATGAATGAATGAATGAATGAATGAATGAACACAAAGCCTTGAATAACACACTCTACCACTACCATGTCAGAATTATTTTCACAATGTCATGCACAACTGGAAAAGTACTCAAGAGTGAAATATGGTAGTTGAGACACACATCCATTTAGCAACGCCACTGGCCCTGTCTCACAATGGTGAAGAATCCTTGAAGAAGAAGCCTTTAAAAATTATTTGGATCACCACCAAAATCTAATCGCTTTTAAATCAGTCCATTTGTGACCTTTCCTGTAACTTTATCAAAATCCTTCCATAACTTTTGGAGCAGGGCTTACAGTTCAGTTTTTTTTTTATATATACTTTTATAATAACCACCATCCTCACCAATGACTTCTACAGATATTCTCCTGGAGTCCAGCACTGCCAGTTCTGGCTGGGAAGCCTTGCAGTTATAAAACCCTTCTTCATTCACTGACGTCACATTGGTAATGCGCAACCCACCCTCCTCAAATTGATACTTGGAACCTATAAAGATTATAGATTTTAAGATTATATGAGGATGCAATAGCCTTACTAACAGTAGTTGAGTGGTAGCTTTCTGAGATTGCCATAGGAGCAAATTTAACCCGTTTGTCAATTGAGTTTAGCAACTTTCAACCAAAATCCTAAGTCTACTCTATTAAAGGGTCAAAAAAGCAAATAATTCATCTCTTAAAAATGAGGCTGGCTGTTTACTTTCTTTCCAGTCAGGAATATGAAAAATCTGGCAGACAAAATCTGAAAAACCATGCAAGACAAACTTTCAGTATAATTCCACTGTGAAATGGTTCAAGCAGTTTAAGAGTGGGTTTTCTACATACCTGAAGTAATCCCCACAATGGTATTGCTGTCTTTCTGCTGGAAGTCCCATGTAACTCTGGGGCTTGGGCTGCCAGTAACAACACACTTGATAAATCCCTCTCTATTTAATACAATCCTTTGGGATGAAGGAACGTCTACAAACTTTACATTTTCTGTAAAAGAGAGGTAATGTTACCTTATTATAAAAGTTACTGCTACATTACTTGTTTCCTGGGCTTGGCAGTAACTTTTTTAGCCACTTGCCCTTCCTCCAGAACAATGACATTTTAGAACTTGAGATATTAATGGAGAAGAGAGATATTGGTAAATATTAAAGGAGTTACTAGCCCTATAGGCCATTAACTCCTGTGATTCGCTGGTCTCCCGAGATAGGTCTTCAGTGGCCCCGGGCCAGCAGGGCACCGTCATTGTGGATCCCTCAGGCAGGCAAATTCTATGAACAGTTTTGAGGAGAAAAAAAGTGTGGGTTAAACCCAAGTACAGGTCTGTTTTTATACCACTTTAGCAAAATGGTCCACTTTCTCAGAAAGAAATGCTGTGAAATTGCCGGCTAACCAAATATTTTTGTGAAGAATACATTTCTTTCCTTCACATACTGGACAATTATGTAGATCACCTTACCGTTGATTTCCAAGGTAAATGATTTGGTAGAAGTTGCCCCATTAATTGTTCCTTTACAGGTGTAAAGTCCAGCATCCTCCATCCGCACTTTCTTGAATTGTAACAGTAGTCCTGACGGCTCACGAGATATGTAAATCCCTGTCCTAAATGGGAAATTCTTATTAATAATGATGATAATACAAACTATGGCCAACTTTACTGGGTTCTATTTGGTACATTGTCACATTTGTCAGCTCTCTATACTAATAAATTTATGAATTTATTATTCAATATTTATTATCATTATTATTTTTTGGGAGGGGGGGTGGCTTAACAATAAATACGTTTCATTACTTTTCAAAAGTAATACAATCGGTAAGAATAAACAGGGAACAAGACAGGGATGATCTATTCTAGAAGCTTTACTTTCAGGACATCTTTTAGTTATGTCTGCACAATCAGTCCGTGCCACTAAACACAATGAACCTCCCCCCACTGTTGTTGCAGCCTATCTCAACAAACACAATGAAGCTTCCAAACTGTTCTGACGTCTCAACAACAGCAAATTAACTTTTAGAAGAATAACAAGCACATTTTCTTACTCTGCATGAACCAGGATCTAAAATTTTCCTTTGCATTATAAACATTGCACCAAATATAAAAGATACATATGTTAGTCAAAACAAAGTACACTTTCTTCAGTCAATTTACTCGCAGTAACTGTTAAAAAAAAAGACTACCCCCCACCCCCCCAACAATCTTCCTCAAATCAACTTACCTTTGTAGGAATGCTTGCATAATCGGCTATGTGACCAATACAAGCTTAAGTGACATATGTTTAAAGGGACAAAAAATAGGATTAAAAACGCCTTTTTAGTGCATGGATTGCTTCTTTTTTAACTTATCTGAGAACAATTGCTATGGGGAAAGCATAAAATGGCAGGTAAATGGCCTTAATCAATATCGAAAAAAAGAATCATATTCACCGTCCACTTTCGANGCGAAAATCCTCTTTTGTGTCCTTTTAAGCAAAATCAGCATTTTTCTTCTGGACGTTACTTAAATTGTATATTAATCTAACACCTGTGGAACATAAACACTGGAAAAAACTATACTTACTCTAAAGGTATAACAGTTGAAGTAATTTCTCTCTCTGGAATAATGTCACTTCCAAGGTACCATTGAAAATCTACTTGATCCTGGCTCGTCACTCCTGGTGCTTCACATGTCACTACAATGTTGCTGTCTAAATTCTTCTTTATTACCGGACTATCAGGCAATAAGGCGACGCTGGACTGTTGCACTGTAATGATCAGAAGAAAAGAGATGTAAAATACATGTTTGACATACATTTCAGCTATCTTTCTTATATAGGGTGTTCCAAAAAATGTACCCATTTAGAAACTAACTAACTCTTCTGAAATTTACACTTCAGATGACATTTTTTAATTATTTTTCTTTATCCTGATATATGTTCAATGTATTGGGAATGTTTCAACAACTGTATATTCGCATTCAAATCACACTTTTGAATTAAACCAGTGATAAATGGACAACAAAATCTTAGTTTCCTTAGCCAAGTTAGAATATCTTAAGCATTTAGCTAAAATTTATTTAGTAGTTTCCTAAACCAAGAATATCTTTTAAAATTAAGCCAAAATTACACAGAGAGTCATCAAATAAATGTTTGGTTTGTGGTTAATGCAGAGGTTTCTCTCGCCACAGGTATGCCTGATATCCACACATTAACCTAACCTTATCACCTCTTAATAGCTGAGAGAAATACATGTCATTTGATACTCTTGAGTGCTTTTCCAGACTTCTACTACAGGAATCACTAAAGCCTCTAAGACTGGTGTAACTGTTTTTCCAAAGTCAGGCCCGTACTAAAAGATCAGTCATCAGGACAGTGTGAAGAATATTAAGTCTACAACCAAATTTCTGTACAACAGAGAGGCAAATCTTAGATCAAAATGCTAAATGATATATCTGGCCATCCATACTACCCTACTGAATGAAGTCAGTGCCAGAGGACCACGATGCCTGTGACAAGAAAAATTTGCAGATCAAATTTCAGCATGTGAGGAGAAAAAAGGAAATTCATTTGTGAAATTCAGAATATTTATGGGTGCTAGTTCTACGCAAAATTGGTCTCCGGATAATTTCAGAGCAACATTGACCTTTACTTGTACAATTCCAATTACCAAACCAATATCAAAACTGCACAAGGTACTATTCATTGCTATGGAAATGGTCATAATTACAAGATGTCGTACACCAAACCTCACACAGAAGTGTGGTATATCCTGACGCGAACATTTATTGTCAGAAGTAACGTGGAGAAAATCAATGTTAGTCCCATAAGGCAGTAAGTACACAGTGACTTCACAAACCCCAGCATCATCAATTGTCTGGGTCACTGTCATCAAGGCCGCGCTTATTCTCGTGCTCATGCTCGCACACACACTCTCAAACAGCAGATTTCATACGACTGGAACCAGCAGCACTATTATCAGATGACCATATTGCTTAAAAAAGGTGTTCGAAAGTATCTTCTCTGAAAAGAACTGGTGATCTCTTGCCTGTTCACCAGTTTCAGTTGATCTGGTTCTACACAATGTTACCCAGTCAAAGTTCTGTATGTCTCCAATAAATACCAAGCTTATTTATCACTGATAAGTATTTGCCATTGTTCACGAGACAATTTATTTTTCTTTAGCTAACACCTTCTCCATTAAACAAAATTCCCAATAATACTTCAATTATTGGAAAATTGAATTTTATCCATATACTTGAAAAGAAGGGATAAAAGAGGGTTAAGGAAGCAGTAAACAATTCTTTGCATCCCATTCATGTCAAGGCAAAATAAATTACAATCCTCGTGAGAACTGGACCACCAGCTGAACATAAACTTTGCAGGTAAAGAGAAATATGAGACCACTTTATCATGGCAAACCCAAGTGGTCAGTAAGTTTGATATTAGCCCTATTGTCTGGCCTATCAGTAGGGTCCTTAAACCCATTTAGGTAGGACAATAAGAGAAGTCAAATTAACCCTTTGGATAACTGGCTAACTGGCTCATTAAGATGGTGTGTTATATATATTCAGGCATTCTATTCCTCCTGATCTTTGAACTCAGCCAAATCAACAACTGGCCATTTTCATCAATCAATTGGTAATTTTCTACCATCACCTGATTATTATCCTCTCTGAATAACTGTTTTGACGTAACTATGAAACTGAAGTGGACTTGCTGAAAATCACATTATATTGTCAACAACCAGTGTAGGAGAAGAAAAATCAGTGTGAAAAACAAGATGGCAGCAGTTACCATAGTGACACAAAACCCTCACCTCCCTTTTAATCATTTAATTATAGTGTCACAAACATAAAATATGTTCTTCTGTCCACTCTGTTTTTTGACTGGTGTTAATCTGCTCTGACGCAAATGAGTATTTTGCACAAAAAAAAAAAAAAAAAAAAAATCCCCAAATCATGGTGTTTGTGCAGATGTGTGCGTGAGCATGTGTAGATGTGAGTATATTTCCATACGTGCGCATGTTCGTAATCATGCCTGTAAACCTTGATACAAAGAACCTCTAAAATTCAAGTGCAAATAGCAGTGGAAGTTCCGTGTTTTATCTGTGTGAACAAGAGTCTAGAGTCTTGAGACAGTCAATTAATTAGAAAGAGTTAATTCAAGCAGTAATAACACTGTCTGTCTTCTCCCAAAAGCAATTTCCTACTGGGACAGCTGACATATTAGCTTATCGATTTTTCACCCCATCCTCATCTGATGTTACAGCCACTATCCAGTTTGACCAGTGTCCAGTGGCCTGCTCCATTACATCCATTGTATCCAAATGGACACCTGTTTATATTAACCCTTTCACCACTATTCTGCTGACAGGTCAGTATAGAATTGACGGTAGCAGTGCAAAATGGGGCATAAAGAAAAAAAATGCTAATTTTGCTAATAAGATAATTTTAGGAAAAAATACTGCCCTACTGTGGACAACAATCATAGGGTTCTTTAAGTTACTACTTGGTTAAAAGTGAGGATCATATTTAATGAAATAGTGTTATTGGTCTCCTAAAAGTTGCACTAAGGGAAATCATACAGTTGATATACACCATTTAATTGTCTTTTAGCATTTCACAGGAACACCTCTCACTTGAACCACTCAAGAAATATTTTATTTCCCAAATGTTTTCATTCCAACAGTTCCTGAAACTTTTTGTCTGGCAGCTAACTGCTTGGTAACTCAAGTTATAGGTGGGAGGCCCATTTCCACTAAGAGAGACAAACTAGACTGCATACGCTCCATCTTTGCACGTTGACAGTCAATTTATATTACCATGCTGTCTGATTACAATGAGTTGACTACAGGAAGCAAACTAAATGACCCATAGCTTGCCTGTATTACTTTCAGAGCCAGTAAAGAACACAATACACCTGAAGTTTTTCCTAGGAGAGAAAGCAAAAGTGAGATGGACATGTTAAAATGATGGTAAACATTAAAGAATGTTTTTCCTCTTCTTTCCATTTTAAAAGATGCATTTAATGTCAAAATTTGGCCTCAAAACCCAAGCAAATGCCACCATGTAGTTGCAAATAGCATAATTTACAGAAATACCAAATGTTACTCTGACAGCATTCAGCAGAAGTCCCCACGGAGTTGAAGTTGACTTGAACTACCTAGTACGACAATTGCATAGTGAATGCACCCTCCAGTATAGCTAAGAAGTGTAGTCTACAGCATTTAGAGTGCATTCCCAGAGATTTAGATAGATCTATCCGGATCGACCTAATTCCCTGGGGGTTTGCGCTAAACTGCAGTCAGCCGAGCTTTTAGTAGGCAGGACAGACATTTAAGCCGGCTAAGCTGACAGTAATCTAGTGAGACTCCAAGAGGATAGATCGATCTAAAATCTGTGGGAACGGGGTCTTAGTGCATATCCACCGAGAGACAACAGTGGTTTACTGTCTTTATCTCCACCCCTAAGAGAACCACCATCGCCATCACTAATCAGTTAATTGCTGCTTCCCACCAGGAATTCATACTGCACAAACAAATGGCAACTTGGGCAAGTGGTTGGAATAGTATACAACATCTAATGTGATTAAGACAACTGGCCATAAGGACTTCTGCAGAAGCTGTTTAGACAGGGAAATTTTCAACTGAAAATAGTTTTTAAGTGTCATAATGTATGATAAACTATGACAGCATTAGCTTTTCTTATAAACTGAATATCTAATGATTAAATTTTGTCTCCTTTATTTTTTTCTTTTTTTTTAAATCCAGCTAACCATTACCTGAATATGGTTCAAATACAATAAAAATACAATACAGTTATGAATTTCAATAGCCAGTAAACAATGCAATTACCTCGTCTTAAGAAATTAGCAGAAATGGGACTTTCTCATAAAGACTGAATAAGTAGGATACAGTTTTCTTAGTAATCTGGTTGGTTTTGGATTATGAAATATCCGTATCCTTAGAATGGAGACTTGACAGGACATATTCAAAGTGGCTTCACAAAACTGAACAAAAGCACAGATTATATCATAATCATAACTGCAGCAGATGAAGTAAAATCTTGACACAAAGCCCAATTCTAAATTGCACTTAAAACCTTCAAACAAAGCTGAATTATAAGTGTCATGTAAAATCTTCTCACAAAGCTCAATTATAAATGACATGAATAATTGATCGATGTCCACACTGCATAAACACCAGGGCAATCTGTATAGTTCAAGCTATTAAAATATTCCACAATAGCTTGGGATGCTGTTT